ATCGGGATTCACAGATAAGGTCCAAAACTTGATCGTCATTGCCGCCGTCACCAACTCCAATGAAATGATACAGCACCACTGGAAAGCATAACTCCAACCTAAAGAAAATCCTATTGAGTCATCGATAAATTTGGAATAGTAGGATTGGAATCCACCAGGTAAACCAGGGTAGGCAATCGATAATTCCGAGACGGAACAAATTGTTGGTGCAAGCATAGCTAACCCCGTTATAGCATAAGCAATCAAGACACCAGCAGGACCAGCCATACGCAATTTATCACCAGAAGCCACCAATAAACCGGTACCTAAACCAGTGGTTAAGGACATTAATCGTAATTCGTTTTTGGAAATGGCTTTTTTAAAATCGGCCCCAACCACATTTGTTGGTGGGCCCTTTCAAAGCCATTGAGGAATGTGTCCCAATATCCACGAAGTCTGTGGGTTTGGGATGTGGTTCCTGATGCGGACGAGTATAAGTCATCCTCAAACTTCTCCTGGTTCTCTAATTTCACTATTTGTGGTTTGGAAAATGACATTCCGGATTTGGTTTATATTCTGCTATTGCTGTTTGTGTTTATTGAGGTTGAAGTGATAATTGTGTAACAAAGGTACGATATAAAACGTCCAGAAGGGAGAAGATGGAGAGATGATAAGAAGCAGTATATATAGTTAATATCGAATAGAATATGCCTAAAATACACGATCAAAGGGAATGTGGGGCTGGTTATTAGCTAATAAAACAGAAAGTCAAAGATCATATGTTGGTGTTCACTTAAATCTGAAAAGAAGTCTTATTACTCTTTCGAATTAAACTTTGCGAATACAGTAGGAGAAAATGGACTTACGAATAGTGGAACGCATTAACTGCTTGGTTTTAATTTATGTCCAAGAAGTGTATGCCAAGGTATACTGGTTCAATTTAGCAACCTTATGATACCTTGGCTTAATTTGCATTTGAAGATGGGTCTAATCATGTTCCTTTTACAAAGCTGTATATTTCAGCTAATGGGAACAGTTTTGTGACACAATATAAAAAAGACCGAAAATGACACAAACCTCTCTAATATCTGAAGAGATCGAGTAGATAGTAGTAGTGAAGTGGGGCAAAAAGTGAGGGCAAATCCTAAAAGCTTGATTTAGGTTTAAATATTATAGTGTGGAGATAAACGGGTGAGCGTTTGTTACTATTTCGCATCTTTCCGGAACCCAACCTCCCTTTATCTAAAGTCTAATAGGATCTTCAATTCTGTTTTAGGGAAGAGAGACGGATCCATATTTGCTCTCATATCAAAATTCTATTTGTACTGTTCTGCCTCCAACAGATGAGAAGGATATAGCTCAACAACTTTGCCTCCAAAAAGTTAAACTGCTCTAACTTTTGCTCATTTGTGATTTAGTTATGTCGATTTTTTAAAGTTTCTGTCTACTAGGGCTACGAAGTTTCTTGTAAGGTGTGTTTTGCGTTGAATTGAATCGGCTCCGAGAACATGCTTGTGTTATTGATAATTCAAAAATTTTATTTGATATTCTCTCATTACCTACCAAACTTGGCTAAAAGATTTGTTTGTAATGTGGGGCCAACTACTTTGAGCTGCAAAATTGGGTTTGGCTTGAACTTTTGGCCGTTTAATACTTGCTGGATTCTATGCCCGGGATTTATCCTTTAATCCTAGATGTATAGTCCCCATTTACACAAAGTTTAGTTGGAACCAACAACTCTTTAAAATTAGAGCGAATGTCACTTTCTCAGTTTTCTTGTTTTTTGACCTGGTTTTAAAGGTTTTAATTTCCTTTAGATCTAAACTTTGTTTCGTTCCACATTTCCACCCTGACAAATACACTTCCTAACTTAGCTCTTCTTAGGGTTGTAATTTAGGAAGTGGATTTAGAATAGTTTTTCCGAAACACGAGTATTAATTAGGGATGTGAATGGTGACACAAGCCCATATATATATATATATATATGATCTTAATAGAGAGCATAACCAGGAGCATATTAATCTAAGGTACATATTTTGAACGACTCAGGAACATTATGGATTTCCTTGTATATCCCTTGTTAATACACTAGCAAATTTCCTTTTTGCTTCATTCAATATCGAATGATACATGCGTATTCATAATTTCAATGCAAAGTCTTAACTTCAATTTCACACATTTCTCTCAATTCTGTTGTATGCACGATCCAAATATATCACTACTACTGCGACGCCTAGAATAGTTATACACAACGGAGTTTGGTTTCCTCCTTGCTTCATTTTTTAGGTAATATAGTCAGGTCTTTTGAAACCTAGTTCATAGCTCGGTACATCATTTTACATTATCATACAAGAGCTACACTTTGCTTTGGGGAAGGTGTCGTAGTCCTATTTCTGAGATGTAATCCAATTTACTTTGAAAAGCTATCACTTTTAAACTCATAAATCTTTTATGATTGCTTTACTGTTGAAACCTAGTTGGGTATACAAGAGTTACGTCTCTTTTTGGTATACACATTAGTAACCGAGGAAGGTCACGTGTAACATTTGCTTTTAGACGGTAATAATAATTATCGATCACCTGATTCGTTACCATAGTTGAGCTAAAATAAGACAAGTTTTACCGGTTTACATGCAACGATGTTAATTCTTGGAAGAGAACTCAATCAACACCACAACAACTTTAGTGGATGGATATCAGAACTCCTTCACAGTCCCGACTAATCTCCTAACTCCATTTAGCAAAAGTTCGGTGCGAAAGGGGAACATTACCGGAAAAAAGAAGAAAATAAAAAATTAAAAAAAAAAATTAAAAAAAATTTCACGAAATATCATTGTCTCCCCTCATTCTTCGAAAACTTTACCTATTTGGTTGTCCTTTAGAGCCAATTATTTTCTGAGACTAATAGCCACAGTCCGCACCTATTACCAGCTAAACTACCACGTCAATAGTCGACCACACTTTCCAACTCTTCAAAGCAATGGTCTTATATTTTGAAAACAAGCATCGATATGATTTTGATTTTGAAACTGCTAGTTTAGCATTTATAAATCGATACCCCAACCCGTATTCCAAACATGTATTATCGGTGGACACATTGGAATCATATATCGATAAGCAGGGTCAGCTATGTACTACTCGGGTTATAGTCAAGACTGGCAAATTGCCTAAATTTATCAAGCCGTTCCTTGGTGTTGCTAATTTGAATTCGTGGATAATTGAAAAATCAATAATAAATCCCAGGACGAATACTTTGATTTCATACACGAGTAATATCGATCATCGAAAGTTTATACGGGTAGAGGAATATTTGAAATATCACAGTGAAAAAGAGAGCATGCAAGCGGGCAGTCATGATGGATTAGGTGGCACTATCGTTGATTCAAAAGTGAAGTTTTCTTCTAATTTGTTTGGGTTGAAACTGAAAGTTGAAGAATGGAGTCATAGGAGGTTTACCAAGAATATACAAAATACAAGACAAGGCTTAAACTTTGTCATGATGAAGTTGAAAGAAAGGGGACGGAACTATTTAACAAATGCTCAACAAGGTGTTGAAGTTTAAATAAAATATGTATCTTATTTAATAACGATGTTTACGATTTTGGAAACCAGCTTGATACTGTAGAAGGGGCTTTAGCAAAGGGCCAAGTGTAGTAATCTACCCGGTTGTTTCGTTTCAACTGATGGTAGCGCATAACCATTTCATTTTGACCGAGACAATGGCGATAAGACTCAACAATAGCACAAGACATATGCTTTCATACTGTGTACACAAAAATTATTAGGAAACAGCAAAATCAGTCACACACTTTGAACACGACAGTAGTCTGTACCTCCACCACCAGCTAAAAGCTACACAAGTATACCATCAACTAATACTCACACACACAAATTAAACGCGTATTATCCAAATACATATATAGCCCCGGCCTCTATGAGTGGTTTTCTGTACTCTTCAACTACTAAAATCAGACGCAAATCGACTTCATCTGCAACTGCACTTACAACCACCACAGTTTCTTCACACAAACAAATGGCAACGTCACCAGCAACAACAACAAATAAAATGTTAAGGGCCAAATCTCCAACATCACCAAAGTCTCAAACTGCTCACACTAATGCCAACGCCACAGTCTCTCCACGGCCAGAACCGACAATTATCAAACGAAGAAATTCGTCATTTGCTAATACTTCATCTCCCTGGTTTAGGCGAAACTCATTTTTATCACCTTCCATGATTCAAGATGAGAACTTTAATGTTTATGAATCGGGAAACGCGTTTTATTCCGGTGGATTTGCCTCGAATTATTCTATAATCTCATTACGTGAATGTCAAGGGTTTATATTTAATCAAGATTTATTTGCCACCCCGTATCAACAAGTACGGTCACAAGCTAATGCTAAAAAGTATAGAGCGAGCTTTTCTCAAAGGAGTAGTAGCAGTACTGGAGTTGGTAGAAAATGCCGTGATGGTGATTATGAAAGGAGACATACTAGTTATCATGCCCCGCGGCCACAATTTGATCGTTCTGTAGGCTCGGATCAGGCCATTGTTGATGATGATGAAGAAGAAGAAGTAGATGAGGATGAAGATGAGGAAATGCATGATGCTAATGAAGAATTTGTATCTAATGATGTGAAACATGATAGCAATCATATATATGATGAAGATGAAGATGAAGATGAAGATGAAGATGATGACGACGACGATGACGACGACGATGATTATAGAGAGATGCATGAATATGGAGGCGATTTTAATAATAGACGGTACAAGGTACGTGTTACTGAAATTGTTGTTGATGAAAATGATGATAATGATATATTTCCAACTTCAGAAATATGATAGCGGATTAAAGCTATGGTTTGGATTTCATGAATATAGGCTTCACCGTGAGATAGTGCATGGCAAGTTTTGGGATATAATAAGGTTGTGTAAGTTGAAAAAGCTACCCTAGGGCGGAGAAGAGGCAGAAGTATTGCACAAGGGTGGGTTTTTAATTCGAAATATTCAAGTGCTTCCACCATTGCAGTCTTTAAGGGTACGTATATTAGAGCAAGTAGCTACGTCAATACATCCGTAGGATAGTATTCCTCTGATCTCGTTTAAATAAATAGCGTAATTGACAATTGGGTCGATTGCAAAATCAAAAAGAAAAAAAAAAAATCACCATGAAAAACCTTACAGAAAGTCTCTTTACACAGCAGATATATACACACACATACATTAAAGATGTCTGATTTAAACAAGAAGCTAGAAACACTTTCATTACAATTTTCCAACCACCAATCATCACTAAACGACTTAATAGCATCACGATCAACATTGGAAACGCAGTATCAAGAAAATAAAATCGTTGAACAAGAATTTACCAACTTGTCTGAATCCGACAAGATATATAAACTTACGGGGCCCGTATTATTACCCCAAGATTATGCTGAGGCGTCAATGAATGTTAATAAGCGGATTGAGTTTATTACAGGGGAGATTAAACGAGTTGAAACCAAGATTGAAGTTGAGGAAGGCGAGATGGAGAAGATTCGTGGTGAGATAATTGCGCTTAGAACCCAACAAAGTTAGACTAGAAGGAGCAAATGGGTGCTATTGTTTATAGCTACTTATTAGAGCTTAGTTTTGGGATATGTGATACGCACACACAATAAATTAGAATATACATGTAAAGATATCTCCTACCCTCTAGCTAATTGAGATTTAATCAAATTGATCAAACTAATAGCATTAAAATCAACCCATTGTTCTAAATCATTGTAACCCTGGCCCAATTTCTCAAATTCATTAACACGCTCATCAACAAACAGTTTTGTCAATGTAAAATCGGATGATTCATCATTCAACATAAATAATTCACTTTTGACGTAAATTGAACAGAGTCCTATACGTTTCAGGTACCATGCAAAATCATTTGATGTGTCGCCGGCATAAAATGCTAAATCGTCACCTAAGTTGAGCAATTCTTCAATTGAAGCTGATAAATTGTAAGGCACTACTAACTGACTTAAACCTTGACTTAGTTGGCCCAAAATTGGTTTATTCAACAGTAATCTATACTTGATCAATTGTTTCAACTTATCTCCCTCGGATAATTCACTATTTGTTCCGGTGGTTGTATTGGCAAATGTTTCCAATTCTTGTCTTTTCAATTTCAACCAATGAATCATCAATTGCATAGGAAGCGAATATCCACTGGGTGATGTAGTTAGTACCAGAATTAATGAATCAGGGTACTGTAAGTCGTGAATTGATCTGGTGATGGTTTTAGGATGGAACCCATATTGAGGAATGTAGTCAATGGCCCGAGTCAAGATTTTCGATTCGATGAGATTGTTATTGATGATGGCGTTGGTGCCTATGTGATCGGCGGAGTGGTAAAGTCTGAGGTTGAAACGAGGGAGTCGTGATGGTCTAAGGGTCTTGAACATGGTGGCGTGCGGGGGCGGATAGATTTGGCCTCGCTGTGTGGATATGATGAAAAGATTCTATTCGTAGTGGCATGTTTTTTTTCTTTTCTCTTGGGATAAGTCGCACTAATTGGTTTCACGACATTGGTTGTCAGGAAATACTTTTGGTCGCAAGAAAGTAGATAAAATGGAAGGTAATTCCATTCCCTTTTACTTTATCTTTCAAGACCCAGTGATTGTATCTTGCTTCTAGCTCTATTTTAATTTTGGAAACTTTATCAGAGTCAGCTACCGGGTAGTTGTATTTCGCCAAGTGTTTCACAAGGATTGTATCCTACGAAACTTCCTTAGACCTTTACCAAAAGTTGATAAACCGTTGTACTAAAACTTACATTAGGTCTCCGGTTATTGAGAATTAAGCTGAAACTGGGGAATATTGTGGGGTTTTCCAACCTTTGTTCTGACTTTTTGGCCCTTAACTGTGTAATCCAAAATTGTTTTCTTTGCACGCAATAGACTAAACAAAACTAAAATCAAATAAGTTCAGCAGATATGAGAAAGGATTTGCTAAAGAGTGATTCATGGTTAAATTTATCCAGAGAAAACATTGTATCGGGCTGTATATGTGATTAGCCACAAGCCACAAACGACGTAATGAAGAGACAATAATAGCAACCAATCAAGAAAAAGGTGAATCTGTCGAAGTTGAAGCTACTTACGTGAGTGCCATTTAGTTGCTCTTAAGTGGAACTAATTACTCGTGAATCACAATACAATTCCTCTTCCCCACCCAACATTATAGCTCTATACAGCGGTATTTACGAATTTAACCAAGCGGAACAAGGAGCAGATACATGATGTAAACATGCAGATGAAACAAATGCGTTTAAAAGCTATACTTGTGAATGCTTTAGAGTGTATTTAACATCTACATGTTTAGTGAACACTTTTTAGTTAGCGGCTTTTTTTTTCCATATGTATGTAACATGTAAGAGAAAAAAACGCGGACTTTGTTTAAAAAAGTGAATATTCGCCGTGATCGCTAAACACTAACCTTTTTAAAATGCCTTGCGAACAATAAAAAAAAACAAAAGTGAGAGAATTGATTGAACAAATTGAGTGGTAAGACACACAAACAAACAAAACATGCATATACGTGGTGAAAACTCTCGTCATAGGAGACGAATCAAATGCATGAGTACAGGAGATGATACGTTTACCGGGCCGAATCGACCTGGCACTTAGCGAAAAGTGCAGGAAAGTCCATGCTCCAGTTTTATTTACATTCTTCTATCTTGACGAGACTATTTGACTACTAGAAGTAGATCTCTTGCATCAAAGTAGTGACTAGAAAATCACACTTTGTAACTAAGGCTCTCGCCTTGGTAAGAGAATAAATCAAGACGAAGTTGCTCTGAAAACTCAGCGAATAGAATACTCAGTGAATAGAATACTCTGCTCACCTTTTTTTTTATTTTCTTTTTCAAACGGCAATTGTTAGAGAGGTTACACAAACAAGAACAAGACAAAAGAAAATAAATTGTTTTAAAGAAACGTTTCTGTGTCTATCTAAACTTAAAAAAATCATTAATTTCTCTATTGTTTTCTGTTATGATCCTCGGACATTAAACCCCAACACTTTATATATATATATATACGTTTATATGTCTAAGCAGTCAAGTGGGGCAAAGAAGTTCAACTAGAAAGTCAAACCTTCAATAATGACCACAACTACAAGTGAAAGCAAGAGAAAAGAAGAATGCAGTAGATGACTAAAAATAGTTTAGTCCTGGCAATTATGTTAATCACGCGACAAATGCATACCTGAGGCGAGGTGTAAATCCATTGTTTCCTGCCTCCTCCTCCCACTTTCTCTCCTTCTCTTCTCTCTGGATTGGCAAGATATCCAAATTCTCTATTTTGATCTTTGGGCAAATAAGAACTACACCATAGCTTAGGTCGTGCTCAATCACCAATGCATTAAATAATATCTCAACATTTTGCTCTTCTCAAATGGTTTAAAGAAAATAGAGTTCTAAACTTTGTGTCAAAATAATATCTCTAAACAAGAAAAAGAAATAAAAGAAAAAAAAATAATATAAGCCACTGTAGCGCAAATAAAAGCAATGAAGAAAGAGTGTTGTCCAAAGCCGAACAGAAGCAGTTGTGGTGGATTGATGATAGAGCAAGTAAATAGACATCCAACCATATATACTCTACAATAGTAAATTAATTTTTTAAAGCAACTTCTATATAGCTGGTATACTGGTGAGACCGTGTTTCGGAGATGACCATAAGATGCAAAGTTTTGTGGGTGCATATATGATATCATTATTTATTCGCTTTGTAATACCCTTTAAAACTTTAAGAGGATGTACTTTGCATTCCACAGTAGCAATGAAAACAATGGGAAATGCCCTAAAAACAAACAAAAAGATTTATTTTTCTTGATTGATTAAATAAAAAAAAAAAAAGCTGAAACCAATTATGTATTGAGATTAATGATAATCACATTTATATAACAATAGTAGTGAGTTGGCTTACCTCATTTTCTCTTTTGTCGTTTCTTTACATGCAGATCAGTTCCTCCGCTGTGCCATCCCTTTCTTAGTCCCCCCGCACTTTCAAATTTTTCTTTTAGTTTTTGTAAATCACATCGGACTTTTTCAACAAAGGACTCTTTTTCTTCTAACGTTATATATAGTCCCTCAAAAGTATTCTTAATTCAAAATATTGCAAATAAAACGTTATTTCTTTCTTATTTATTTTCTTTTACATTACTTTACTTTACACTTTCTTTTGTTCCTTTAAGGGTCTTTTTTCATAGCTTTGCATTACCATACATATTCAACTAGATATAGATTCTGAAGAGAGAATCTTTGTTATGCCAATATATACTAGTACAAGATTATCGAGAAATATACCAGAGTCATAAACTTAAAACTGTAAAAATACAAACTGTATTTACAAAAGCTACTACAAAACAACTATAATCACTATACTATCATATAAAAGTTCTTCACACAACAAACAAAGCGATGCCAAAAATGTCATTTTCAAAACCTCATGTGGTACAATTAGAAGACTTCGACAAAGCAGACGACACCTATTCCTCGGCCTCAGGAACCATCTCTCCACAACACAATCACACACAGGGCTTTAAAGGACACTGGGATTCCTTCATTGATGGATTTCAACGAGCTCCACCCACAGCCAACCAAGGTGACGATCGAAAAAAGGCCATTTCCAAAAACGAATTACGATTAATGTCATTGTCGACGGGGTTGGGTACGGGGCTATTAGTGGCAGCTGGTGATAAATTGCGTATGGCTGGTCCTGCTGGTGTCTTGATTGCTTATGCTATAACGGGGTTGGTTATGCTTGTGCCGACGATTTCATCAGTGTCAGAATTATCGATTGCCTACCCTGGTTTACCTGGTGGGTTCCAATCCTACTATTCCAAATTTATCGATGACTCACTAGGATTTTCTTTAGGTTGGGGTTATGCTTTCCAATGGTGTTGTGTTATATCATTGGAGTTGGTGACGGCGGCAATGACGATCAAGTTTTGGACCTTATCTGTGAATCCCGAT